GTCCCAAGGGACACATTTCTTCAAGTATCTGATTAGAGATTGAAGCAGTTCAAGTCGAGGAGTATGGTTGTGAGGTAACCTATATTCAAGAGCCAACCACCCTAAGGTTATGTTGTCTTCAAAAAAAATACTCAAGCCTTCATCTCTCCGTGAGCATGGGACAAGGAAAAGATCTGTCAAGACTCTGTTGAGCAGGGGGAAGCATGTCAAGTACTCCATCGAGTAGATATTCAGCCAATCTGAGGCATTCAAGTCGGGATTTCATCCCTCAAAGGGCAGTCAAACTGGGGCAGTTATGTCGAGATTTGATAAATATCTCTAAGAATTTGTTGATTAGGGGAGAATCTTTTTAGAATTCAGAGATGCACGAGAATTCAATCAAGCATTGTTGAAGTTATTTCCAACTTTGGTCAGCCATGGGCAGTATTCTGAAGTTCATAACACTGGGGCAGTCTATCTTGGTGGTGTAAATCTCAAAAAGTCCTCTCGAGGCAATTTTTCTGCAAAAGCCTTACAGACTGGGGCAAGAATTCATGTAAGGGCTTTTTCTCTTCTTGAGTAGTTGATCAGATCAAGTCCATACGCAGGCTAAACGGCCTATGAATGTGAAAATCATGCTGAGAAGTCCGGATTGTAATCTTCAACTTATCATAGACTTAAGTCCATTTACTGACATCCTTTGTCCTAAGTCAAGGTTATTACCCCCAGTTAAAGTTTGGATTGTTATCCACAGTAGGACATGAGTAGTAACGCAAAGATTATTTGGGTTTGTTTACTCGAACAAGACTCGATGGGAATATTGCTTCCTAGGGGGATGCCTCCTCCTAGTAAAATATCCATTGCTACTTAACATAGACCTATCTACCAAGGGGTTCCTCTTCTGAGATATTTTCTCCCCAGTGAAGCATCCTCATTTCTCTGCAGTAGGAGAATGTGCTTTCTCCCTGGAAATATAGAAGCTGTGTAAAGTCTAGATTGATCCCTTTTCATTGGACTGTAATTTATTTTTGCAGCATCTCCTCTAAAGTCCATTTTTTAGTGGCATTCCTCCTCGGAGTCGACATGTTGAAGTAACAATCTTGCATCACAGTTTTCACCCAGTGATTGATCATTCAAGTTGTATATTCTTCAGTAAGGTTTTCCATTCCAAACAGGGGCACATCACCCCAATTTCTGCTTTGCAAGTACTGTTGGTCTTACATGACAAAATTCATATCAGCAAATGAATCAAGAAGGGTCTGTATGTGACTAACGTGAGGATGTTCGTATAATGAGATCCAATTTCCCCAGTGGAACTTTTCTTCTTTCCCTAATGGAGCAAGTGTGCTTTCTCTCTGGTGAGGTGTACATGAAGAATTCCAGTCATAACTCTTTCGTTACCAGTGGTAGAAGATTTTTTTTTGAGGTATCCCCAATGAAGTTTCTATCTCGGGATGTGGTTTCCCCCCAAGTGAGGATCTTTTACCTCCCAGCAACGTTATCCCCAGTGTGATCTGAGTAGAATTCTTTTTTATTTATGAATTTCTATACTCCCCAACGGAAGTTATCTTCGTCAAGAATTTCTATGCCAGAAATTTCCGTTCCTAGTAAAGCTTTCCTCTTTCCAACAGAGGATAAGAAATTCATTCCCCGTGAAGTAGGGAGTTTGATCAGAATTCAAGTTTTTCTCTGAACTACAATTTCATTTTTGTAGTATTCTCCCCAAGAAGTTACTTCCCCAATGAGATCAATCGTTTAAACATTGATGATTTCAAATCTCGGTTCCCCATTGAAGTACAAATTGGTTTTTCTCTACAAAAAATCAGATGTGCAAGAATAATCGTTCGAAAGTTCACTGAATTCTCAGCAGCCGATTATTGATATGTTTTCATAATGCATTACTAAACTTGCATCATTACATTGCATCTCCCGAAACTCGTAGCATTTCCATTGCATGGAGCATCACACTATAAAAAAAATGTGTTCAAACATGCATGAGTATAAGCCAATTGTGCCCACCTGTGGCAACCAGATTGTTATGCGCTCAGATTTGATTTACCTCTACAACAAGCCTAGGGTAATTCATTTATGTTTCCCCAGTAAAGTTTATTTTGATTCACCACCAGTCGGATCTTTGGTATTCCTCCATTTCCCCAATAAGTCTGTGGTTTGCGCTTGTCGTTGCAAGCCTTTGGTTATTTTACCCATGTTTGCTTTGCCATTAGAGTGTGAGTAAGAGTCGGTGTATAACCTTTATTGCTTCTCAAGTATTTGAGTATCCATACTTGGTGTATGGTAATTCTGACAATTGCCCCTCTTGAAGAATTAACACTCCGCCTCTGGCCTGAGGGATTTGTAGTCCTTGCGTATTTGCAACTTATCGAAAGTCCAATGTGTTTTGGCAATCTTTGTTAGAGTCTGCTTTGACCAACCTCTTTCTCTTGTAAAGTTCACCTTCTATCAGTGCTCTTTGAAGGTCTTGCTTAGTCGGTTCCTTGTTTTGGTTTATCCGCGTTAGTCGGGTCCTCCTTTCGTTAGCCTAGCTAACTTTTTATGATTAAGAGTCTTTCAATGTCTCTTTAAAGTCCACTTTCGGCTGGCATCCTTTAAAATCCACCTTCGGCTGGTACCATTTGTTGAGAGTCCCCTTCGGCTGGTCTCTTTGCAGTTGTAAGTTCACCTTCGATTGGTGTTTTCTTTGTAAGAGCTTTCTTCGGTCTGTCTCTTTCTTACGTATCCGATACCGACCACATATATGTATTTTTGATACTTGCTTTATATGTCTGCTACCAACCCCAGACATATATTCTTGTATCTTTGATATCTCTTCCTTACGTATCCGATACTGACCACGGATATGTATTCTTGATATCTCTTTCTTATGTATCCGATACCGACCACGGATATGCATTTTTGATACCTGTTTTATATGTCTGCTACCAACCCCAGACATATATTCTTGTATCTTCGATGTCTCTTTCTTACATGTCCGATACTGACCACGGATATGTATCTTTGATGTCTCTTTCTTACGTATCCGATACCGACCACGGATATGTATTTTTGATAGTTGCTTTATATGTCTGCTACCAACCCCAGACATATATTCTTGTATCTTCGATGTATCTTTCTTACATGTCTGATACCGACCACGGATATGTATCTTTGATGTCTCTTTCTTACGTATCCGATACCGACCACGGATATGTATTTTTAATACTTGCTTTATATGTCTGCTACCAACCCCAGACATATATTCTTGTATCTTCGATGTCTCTTTCTTACATGTCCGATACCGACCACGGATATGTATCTTTGATGTCTTCTGTGCGTATCCGATACTGACCACGGATATGTATTTTTGATACCTGTTTTATATATCTGCTACCAACCCCAGACATATATTCTTGTATCTTCGATGTCTCTTTCTTACATGTCCGATACCGACCATGGATATGTATCTTTGATGTCTCTTTCTTACGTATCCGATACCGACCACGGATATGTATTTTTGATACTTGCTTTATATGTCTGCTACCAACCCCAGACATATATTCTTGTATCTTCGATGTCTCTTTCTTACATGTCTGATACCGACCACGGATATGTATCTTTGATGTCTCTTTCTTACGCATCCGATACCGACCACGGATATGTATTTTTGATACCTGTTTTATATGTCTGCTACCAACCCCAGACATATGTTCTTGCATCTTTGATGTCTCTGTCGTATGTATCTGATACCGACCACGGATATGTATCTTTTTTATATCTTTTGTGCGTATCCGATACCGACCACGGATATGTATCTTTTCTATCTCTTTCTTACGTGTCCGATACCGACCACGGATATGTATTTTTGATGTCTCTTTCTTGTATATCCGCTACCAACCCCGGTCATGTGTCTCTGATAATTTTTCGCATGTCTGCTACGGACTTCAGGCGTATATCTTTTGATATCTTTCTTACAGGTGTTTGTTACTAAATCCCAACAGATGTTCCTTGATAACCAAGTTATTCTGCTATGTGTCAAACTCCGGTTAAACATACATTTAACCCCGATAACCCCTTTAACCCAGAAAGACCAAAAATAATAATACCTGACTGACTCCGGAGCGCAAATTTTCGGGTTCTTTTAAGTATTTAATCTTCTTCCACCTTGAAAGTTCGAAAGGCCGGCACCAATCTCACCTTCAGGTTGAAGGCGATTAAATAGGGGCAGCTGTTGCACCCCAAAATTTTCCCTCATAATCTCTTTTATTTGGCTTGGACTTTTTACATTCATCTGCATCATTCCAATGGTTCATTTGCATAGTACGCATTTTTCATAAAAATAAATAGCTCTGAGGTTCAAAGTCCAATGGTTGTGCGACACTAGGGTTTCCCAGTGGTTAAGGCGCTCGTATCCAATAAGGGATGATTTCTTATTCAGGCAGCAAGCTGTGGAATTAGGGTTTTGGTTCATTCTCTTTTTTTGACTTCTTCTCCATCAAGCTACAAGGTTATTATCTTCTGTTGAACAATAAGTTGCAGGGTATTCCTGTCAATAACATAAGATTGTGATCTCGCGTACATGATTTAAAACACCTCATTCTATCGTTGTGCTTGTCATTTGGTCAAGGTTTTGGCAAGACTAGGGGTGTATTAAGATCTTCTCTAAAGGATCAAAATCTGTTATCAATCCAGGATGCATATGATGCTTGCAATACAGGTTGTTGACTATGTCATTGTTGCATTAAGTTCATCTATCCTTAAGTTAATCAATTAGGATTGGGTGCGTCATGATTTAAGATATTTTGTATGGTAAATTTGGTTGCTTGACAGTCAAGGTATTGCGAATGATTGGTACAAGCTATTGTTTGGATATTTGTGCAAGAACTTTGGTTTCAAACATGGGTTAAGGCTCAACTTGATAAAAAAGGAAATAGCATGCCCGAAGGTTTATTTCATAAATTCTTGCGGAGGAAGATGGCACATGAATATAAGTTGAGATTAAAGTACATGGTATCAAGAATCTCTTCATGATTCAAGTTGTTATTTTCAAAGATTATCCCACACCATTATTAACCCCAATTAGCAGCATTCAAGAGAGAGATATTGAGGATGAAATCATTGTTGAACACGATGAAAGTTCGGATGTTGTGCCAGCCGCAACTGCCTCCTCCTCGTATCAGCCAGTCATGGGGCACAAAATGAAGGTCCAATTAATCAGAGGGGAAAAGGAATTAATGGACGCATTGCTTCTGGATGCAAATGGAATGGGAAAACTAGATGGAAGATCTAGAATCTGGGTGGAGCAACTAAGAGGTATTTCCCTTGAAGCTCAATTTGTCCTTAACAAATATAATGCCAAATTGAATCATAAGCCAATTCTCATCTACATTTGTAAGTACTGGATTCGACATGTTGTTAGTAATAAGATAGATGGTATCAGAAACAAAATTGAAGATGCTTCTAGGAGAAGAAGAGCGTATGGTTTAGTGCAAATTCAAAGCCGAGTCGTATCTAAGATTCAAATATTACGTGCACGGATGCAACCGTATCCCGCTTCCAAGGAATCCAGTGTGGTTGGATTTGATGATGACACACAAGTTCTGATGACGGAGTTACTGTCGGATGAGAAATGCCGCTGCATTACTTGGATTGTTGGAGTCGGAGGCACAGGTAAGACAACACTAGCCAATTTGATATTTGAAGACAACACTGTTGTAGCTCATTTTCAGCGTCGCGTATGGGTGTCACTGCCTTCAAATGGTACGACAGACCAGTTTGTTGCAGAAATTGGCAGGGAGACCGCCAAGAAAATTACAGTAGAAGAAGAAAACATGCCCACTGATTAAGTACTCATAACCTTGGCACACTCAAAGTACCTTATAGTTGTTGATGGCCTTAAAGAAACATCCAAAGTATACTTGGATACCTTGAACAGGGTCATACCTGATATGTTAACAGGAAGCAGAGTTCTTTTTACTACTCGCAATGCAACAGTAGCCCAACATGCAGTAGGTAGAATCATTCTTCACCCATTACAGTTATTAGATGATGAAACTGGTTGGCTGTTGTTCACAAGACATTTGAAGGTCCCCAAGTCAGAAACAGAATTTATCAAGGTTGGAAAAGAAATTGTGATGAAATGTGGGGGACTGCCATCACAAATACTGAAAATAAGTGATTTGCTTTCACATAAAGATGTTACACATGAGGAATGGTTAAGCGTGCTAGGAGGGCAGCAGCTCAATGAAAATCAAATACAATGTTGGTCTGAAACGCTAGACACAATTAATACAAACTTACCTTATTATCTAAGAAGATGTCTATTTTACTTTGTGTTATTCCCTGCTGAATTTGGGATCCCTGTCAGAAGGTTGTTTGTTTTGTGGGTTTCCAAGAGTCTAATTCATCAAGCAGAAGATGACGAAGTGCCCCCGGAGCTCGTTGCAGAAAGGTACTTGACATAGTTGATAGATCGGAACATGGTCCAAGTAGCCAAGAGAAAGCGCAATGAACAGGGTGATCCATCTAAAAACTTTTGATATCCCACAGAATGTGAAAATACAAACTGTTGATGGTTTGGGATCAAAAAGGTACTTGACCCAAAGTTGGAATCGAGTTCAAATGTTTCCACTCAGTTTCCTTTGGCAAATGACCATCTTCAAGTACATCAAAACTTTCCAGTTGCTATAAATATTAAACCTGTTCGTCCAATCGTTGATTCAAAGGTGTTAAACCAGAGTGCTTCACTGCATTCACCTGTTTCCATATTGCAAGATTCAGATGAAGGGTTCTGGAAGCCATTTTCTGATATTCGGAAGATAGGCATAAGGGAATTTCAGAAAAGTTTCTTTCCAAAATTTTAATACCTTTGCAGCTCTATTTCCAAAAACGCACCCACAGCAAATCAATTCACCACTGAGGAAGGTCCAAGGTTGCACATTCCTCTTAAGACAGACAATCATGTCGTGTCTGACTTTGAGGGTGAACAATCAATCATAATTGCTTGTGCACTGTCCTTGTTGAAAGACTCATCTGAGATGTCGAAAATTGATGGTGATGTGAAAGAAAGTGGGATAACTTCAAAATCTACAGATTCTTTGCACGACTCTCTAGATTCAGATTCTGCGCATTCTACTGGAAGCGTGTCTTCAGAAGAGTCACGATTATTTCGTGCTACAGAAGACCATAGCAAAGAAGTTCATCTGGGTTATGCAAAAATCACTTGGGAGGGAAAAATATTCCGTGGTTTGTCATTATTATAAGCAGTTCCGTGCACTTAGAAATTGCTGTTGCCCATCTGAGATTGATTATATTGCTTCTTTAAGCCGTTGTATGAATTGGGATGCCGAAGGTGGAAAAAGCAAGTCTTTTTTTTCCAAAACACTTGATGAGAGGTTCATCGTAAAGGAAATCAAGAAGACGGAACTTGAAGCATTTTTGGGATTCTCTTCCCTATATTTCAAAAACATGAGAGACTCATTTGAGTCTGGGAGCCAAACATATCTAGCAACAGTCCTGGGGATATATCAGGTTACTAGAAGACACATTAAAAGTGGAAAAGAGGTTAAACAACATGACCTCATGGTGAAGGAAAATCTTACCTACAATCGAAATATTGTATGCCAGTATGATCTTAAAGGTGCTCTTTTTGAGCGGTATACTTCTGATGCTACTGGTGCTGAGGATGTTCTTCTGGATCAGAACTTTGTGGAAGACATGAACTCTTCCCCGTTATATGTCGGCCACGTTTTGCCTTATCAATAGAGGGTTTATACCAGATATACCAAGCTGGCAGTGTGTGTAATCAAGCTACAAAAGGCATTTACCCGGATTTTGCTCTTGAAGCCATACTTATGAGCGCACCTCCTATTTCCATTTTCTTAATGGATCAGGAAAGGCTTCGTAATTTTATTATTTGGGCAATTACAACTGCGTTAGCGTCGGATTCTTCACAAAGGTTGAGGTCTAACGAGTCTAGCATTTTTGTCAAAAAAAAAAAAGAACTAGGAGAAGAGTCTCGTGATGACTCCTTAGTGTCAAAATTTTTGCGTTGGTTAACAGCATCAGTAATCAATGGGAAGCTTCATCAAAAATCCAATGATATATATTCAGGGTTTACAGAAACACATAAGCTAGAATCCCTGCATTCTTTACTGGTGCATGTAGAAAATACCTCAGGACAAAGACATGATATTAATATTGGCTGTGAGGAGTTGCTTGCTTCAACAGTTTTCTATCTCCAACTGCTTCCTGGTATAAATCAGGAACTTCTACCATCAGTTGTATCTGCTCTATGTCTCCTAACTTTTGGTGCCTCTAATTTACAAGTGGGAAGAACCATTTTATTTCAAGACTACGATACTATCATATCATCAAACTCTTTAAGGGTACGATGCCCTCTTGAAGCTAATCCAGATTGGAGATGGTCGTTTTACCAGCCGAGGAAGGATCAATCACTGGAGTTCACTGGCACTGGTACAGAAAACATGACAGAATATCATGCTTGCCAAACTCTGTTGGTGGTTGTTGCAAATGTGCTTGGTGGAAAGAAATTAGAGTCAGCTTGTTTGTCCCCTCTAGATGTTGAGATATCTTCCTTAATCAAATGGGAAAGAAGTCTATTGAGAAACTGAATGTTTATTATCAACCCATTTTCTGGGCCATGTATTCGATGCATTCAACTAGATCCAACCAGCCAAACCCAGTTTGATAACCCGAATGATTCAAATATGGAAGAGATGCCCATTGTACTGACAAGGGTAAGTTTAAAACTGAGTTGCACACTAATACAAACGCTAGCAATCAACACAAGACTAAGCTTGGTAGGAAGGCTGAAACTTCAAAACGGCAATTTATCTAATCAGAATAAAGAGGTGGTACAAGTTGAATTAACTGACAAATGGTATCCTAATATGCCATTTTTGGATGTTCCTTTGTTAAAGCAGCTGGCTGCTGAAGGAATTGTTTGTAGGACAGAAGCTTGAAGAATAGGAAACAAAAGATTAATTAACAGCTCATCAATTTCCTCCTAACAACTTTATAACTCTCTAACTACCTCCAAACAGAATTCCCAACTAGCATAACAACCTTGTAACCAACTCTCAATCTCACCCTTCAATCCCTAACAAACTCTATCCAAATCAATCGTTCAAATCAATGGTTCAGATTGATTCCCACATAACTGTTTCCTCCCTCAACTACCTATATAATCTAAGCTCCCTCCAAGTTTGAGGGGACGAGGTCACTCTCTCTTTTCCAGTTTCAGAACTTCATCATTATCAGCTTCATAACAACTTCTTCCCTCTCCATCATTCACTCTCAATTTTTCTGAACTCTCATAATCTTCAATTTCCCCTCTCTAAACTCCGTCTTCACCGCCACTCTCCATTGTTCGACCTTCAGTTAGTTCTCAAAGCTTCACTTCTCTCTGATTCATCATACAAAGTTCATTTTTCTCAACTTGCGATAATCTTCAGAATTGTCATCATTTCCGCTCTTCTCCTATCGCCAACGCACGCAACTCTCAGACCAAAGAAAAAGTGAAGACAGTGAGGAGAGAATCAAGACGAAGCAGACAAGATCAAGAAGGACAATAACTGTATTACTTCACCTCTGGATTTCTGAAGCGCTACCAACGTGCCTTCAATAGGTAATCCTCAATCTTCTTCTTTTTACGACTTTTTTTGCTTGGTCTGTACCATAACCGCGAAGGGTAAAATGCGGCGAACGATAAATCCACCATGTAATCTTGATCGGAAGAAATGTAGAGCTTAAGTTTCGTTGTTGGATTCAGAATAGAGGAAGAAAAATTGACGAAAGCAAGCAAAGGAATCGAATTCAGAGGGAAACGTTAGGTGGTGTTAGCAAGAAAGTTGAATCAGAACAGGGGAGAAGGGGTGGAGTCATGGCGGCATCGCCATTGTTGTTGTCTACATGTAGAAGAAAGGCTTTTTGTGTAAAGGAGCTGGAAGGGGTCGTTTACAGTAAACATCGTCGTTTTGGAATTCTGTTATTTCTTTTTCTCCTTTTATTATTATTCATTTATTTAATTGTTATTTCAAATGGTTAAATCAAAAAAAGAAAAGAAAAGAGGAGAACTTATTATATTCTTTTTATTATTTTGCCTTTGTGAATTAATTCATGATTATTCGGTTACTCGAAACTGGTAATTCACTTTGCTCGTCAAGATTCGAGTCTTATGCAGGTTTTTATATGGATATGTTCGAGATGCCGATTGTGATTCATTTTCACCTTAAAAGATGCTTCAGTAATGGGGTTTCTGACTCTTTTCTTTGTTGGTGCTAGCAGCTCGCAAGAACATCAAGTATCTTTGATTTTTTCTGCTTTGCTCTACGGGCTAGTATCCGTTTGGTATACTTTCTTTATATTTTTACCTCGCATTTATCTTTTCCCATAGATCATATGAAGTGTGATAGAATCAGGTTTAGGATAGTCTCCCTATAACGTTTCTTTCCCTTTTTGCATACGCATCTAAAACTAAATTTTTTTTACAAACTTCAAAAATACATAAAAATTTACTGATAAGAACCATGTCTTGGCTAAGTTTGAGAGATGATGAGCGGGTTTCTTCTCGACCTTATTATTCTCTTGTTCTAATCTTTGGTATGATTCAAGTCTCAAAGAGTCATTTCATGAATAAGTAGAGACATGGCTAAAATCTCTCCCTTGAGATTAACTAGTTATTCTCTACAAGCGAAAAACACCAACAAACATAAAAATCTTTTTTGCCCTCGGGCCTTTCTTTCAAACTGTTGTACCCTAAAATTTGCCCTCCCATTTCTCATTGATTTCTCATCACAAAGCCCTTGGAGATCAAGATTCAGTTAGAGTTTCATCTGCTCAAGACTTCTCCTTGCACTGTTGACCCAAATTAGGGTTTGTGTTTGCACAGAGATGTTTTGACCTAATTTGCCCAAAATGACTTTCATGCTTCTTATTGGACTCCCAAGTTTATCCATATCAAGTTTCAAGCCTTGATTCCATGTTTTGCCCAGTCAATTGGACAGTTGACCTAGAAATCAACTGTATTGGGGAAAAAGTCAACTGTGGCCAATTGACAGTCAAACTTCATGATTTTTTGATCCACATCAACATAATGAACTCATATGGACCATTTGATCAAGTTTGGATCACAATTCCACAAGAAATTTGATCAGATCACCAAAAGGGCAAAATGGTCATTTTTTAGGGTTTTGACTGCACAAAGGCAATTTTTGACTGTTTGACCTAGCCAATGGCAAACCAAGCTCACATATAGACTCAAGGACCCCATGGAATTGTCTTGACATGCTCAACAAGTTCAAAAGATCCCAAGTACACAAGATTGACAGTTGAATTTCCCAATCAATTGATCAATTTTGACTGTATACCGAAAAGTCAAACTTTGACTTTTTGGTCAAAATCAAGAGTCAAGATTCATTTTTCATCAAAGCATGCCAAATCATGAAACTTGTTCATCAAGAAATCAAGAATTGCAAATTAGGGTTTGAAATGGGAATTTTTCATAACTTAGAATTTTTCTAAGTTATGAAAAACCCTAATTTTTTCCCAACTTTGCCCCACTTTCTCACCAAGATTCATTTGGATTCAAGCAAAAGTCAAAACATGAAAGTTGTAGCCTATTGCATAATCTACAATTTTGATACACAAAGTTTTCCAAAAAGAGGCTTGTATCTCAAGTTACAATTTTTGGAATAAGGGTACTAAACCATTCTTAACTTAGTGAAATTTTGACCTTTTTAGGCAAGGTTTTTACCTAACTTCAAGACCATTTTTCACATACTTCCCCTTGGAATTTCAATTTGCATTTCAAAGATGGATTGTAGTACACATTCCAAGCTTTCCAAAATGTCCAAGAACTCATCAAACAACCTCATAACTTGAGAGAATCGAATTTTTCAATATGGCAAAAACTCACTTTTGAATTGGTCATGTACATGTTCATAACTTATGCCATTTTCAAGTCAGCTTGGTTTGTGCTACATTACAGGCCTCTAAACCATCCAACACTCAATAATTTAATGCATGTTCATTGTGCTAAGGCCTTGTTTCATGAGTTTATGCATTACATGTTGAATTAAGCCATTTATGGAAAAAGTGAAATAGCCATTTTTGCAAAAGTAAGCTTTATGTCATAATGCAAATCCAAGAAGTACATATCAAATCTAATTGGCACAATTTTATGAGTTAACCACACTGATCAAGGAGAAGCTTGGCATCATGTTTAGGGGTCCTCTATCAGCCTAGAAACTCAAGTGGCATTTGCTTGCTTAAGTGTTAAGAAACTTAGCATAACACAACAGAACTTTCATCTCAGCATGAGAAACCTTAAACAAATATTTTGTACACCTTCAAGACATCCTAACTAAGCTAGCACACGACTCCAATACCTCCAATACCTCCACAAACTCAGAACCATCCTCAAACTGCTCAAACAGAGTTCTCACTGTAGTTTGAGTGCCAACTCTCATCCCTTGCATGCTTTCTTGCTCAAAGCTCATCAAACACATTCCCTAGCATCACTTGAAGCTAACCAAAGCATAAAACACGACCTGTAACTCCCCTAACCAGTTCCACCATTTTCACTTTCTTGTTTTGCAGTTGAAGGTCCATAGCTCGATTCAAGGTGTTTCAAAGTAAAGTAAGCATTGGAATAGTATCACCACACTTCAGGCAAGCTATACAGATCATCATCTTGCTCTGAAAGCTCCCCCATTGCCAGATAGAACTTCAACTGAACAGGTATATTCTTGAACTTCTAACTCTTAGTCTAGGCATCATTAGCTCTAAGTTTGTGAATAGGAAGTGTTCTACTCATGCCCCTGAATCTGTACATGCTTTTACTTTTCATTTATTTTGCCTGAGTTATGAGAATTTAAGGTCTGAATATGGAAGAAAAGTTAGGTCAAGATTTGGGAATGTTAAAATTCTCTCTCATTTCTGAGAGTTAGGATGAGTTCTTTATATATTTAGAATCGTGATTCCATGCTTAACATTTCTTATGTTGTGAGTTTGTGCAAAAGATCAAAGAATCCAGATGTTTGAACTTGGAAAACAGGCGCGCGTTTTTGACATCTTTTTGTCTGAAGGTTGAAGAAGAAGCTTCATGGGCTGGGCCTGTTGTGTTATTTATTTTCACACCATATTTTTGGTTTTACACCCCCTAGGCCCATTTTGTTTATTTGCATGATTTTTTGACTTTTCTTTTTTTATCCTGACTTATTTATTTTTGCTAATAATATTAAAAACATGAAAAACATTTTTTACACCATTTATATATTTTTAAGTATTTATTTGTTTATATGGACATTTGTACATAAATATATATATATATATACTATTATTTAGAAAAAACTAGAAAAAATAATGTAAATATATTTCATTTCTGATTTTTATTTCATTTTTTCTTTTGAAAATATTTTATGCAAAATATACTTTTTTTTTATAAATATTAAATATTATTATTTTTATATATATAATACATATTTAGAAATTAATACATATATATATATATATATATATATATATATATATATATATATATATATATATATATATATATATATATATATATATATATATATATATATATATATATATATATATATATATA